AATATAGTTGCACAGATATTGGGTAACAAATTAGTGATCAAATTAAAACAATATGTTGAGGGGTACGTGGGTGGCTGAGTTGGTTAAGCATCTGCCTTGAGCTCAGGTCATTATCCTGGGGTCCTGGAATTGAGAACCCCAGGTTGGGCTCCCTGCTCAGCAGGGAGTCTGTTTCTCCCTCTTCCCTTGCCTGCTGCTCCCCCACTCATGCTCTCTCTCTCAAGTAAATAAATAAATAAATAAATAAATAAATAAATAAATAAATAACAATGTGCTGAATAAGAACTGAAAAATCAGCATTTCTACTAATGGCAAATATCTCCTCATTTGATGGAGCTGCAAAATGATCATATCAATGCCTTAGAAAAGGCCAGAGCAAGACCCTACCTATACAGAATAATCCTAGTCAATTATTAGGAAAGTTCTACTGGTGGAACTGAATGACCAGTAAGAATCTGGTTACTCAGTTTAATGTCAGAGTCTCGGACAAGAATATTCAAAGGTGGTCTATTGCTAGGTTTACTTGTATAATTTTTACTTTAAAGAAAGTATTGGATAAAACAGAATTTCTGATGTGTTAATAAATTTCTACATCAATAAAATAGTAAAATGCCCAAGTACATCACTAGGATTAAATGTACTGGTACTGGTAAATGTATGCTCATACATTTAATGAGATGTTCAATCAAACATTAGAACAGGCATGCAATATGTGCTCAATAAATGTTAAAAACTTCCCCTGCGAAGTCAACTTATTAAAGTAAAAATTGGTAAACTAAGGAAAAATTCCAGTCATTTATTTGCCTTCTCTTTAACAACCAAACTCCAGAATAACAAAATATATGGTGGCAATTACTTTCTAAAATATAAAAACAGAGATTACATGATGGTGGTTGCACAAATGTATACACAAAACAAAATTGCATAATTCTATACACATACACACCCTCAAGCAAATAAATGCATATAAAACTGGTGAAATCTGAATACCTTATGGATTTTATGAATGTCAATGTCTTGACTTTGAAATTGTACTCTGTGTAAGATATTACCATCGGGAAAACTAAGTGAAGGGTACCAGGAAACTACCTGTACTGTATTAATTTTGCAACTTTTTGTCAATCTATATTCATTGTAACATTAGAAAAAGTGAAAAAAAAATGAAGTTAACAGAAGATTAGCATTAGCTATTTTCACTTCCCTTTATTATGGTACACTGTCCTCTTTATAAAGTCAAATTCTGTTATTTTCTTTAATAAAAAATTTATTCCACATCAGAAATAGTAAATTGAGGGGCACCTGGGGGCTCAGTAGGTTAAGCACCTGATTTGATTTCAGCCCAGGTCTTGATCTCAGGGTCTTGAGTTCAAGTGACACATTGGGCCCCACACTGGGTATGGAGCCTACTGAAAGAAAGAGAGAAAGAAAGAGAAAGAAAGAAAGAAGAAAGAAAGAAAGAAAGAAGAAAGAAAGAAAGAAGAAAGAAAGAAAAAGAAAGAAAGAGAAAGAAAGAAAGAATAAAGAAAAAGAAAAGAAAGAAGAAAGAAGAAAAAGAAAGAAGAAAGAAAGAAAGAAAGAAAGAAGAAAGAAAAAGAAAGAAAGAGAAAGAAAGAAAGAAAAAAAAGAAAGAAAGGAAGGAAGAAAGAAAAGAAAATAGTAACTTCAGAGATGGTGGATGTGCTCATTTTTTTTCAAATCAAAGCTCATGGAAGTCATTGCTTATCTGTTGTCACATTCTTTCTTAATAAACCTGGACTTGAGTTGATTGTAATTGGTACACAGTAAGTTCACTCTTTTCATGGTGCTTCAAAATAAACTTTTACATGTTGATCAGTGGTAGACTCATTCATAAAGACCTGTCTTAAGAAAAAACAAAACAAAACAAAACAAAAACAAAAAACTATTGAAAGGGGCAAACAATTTCCTGAAGCTCATCTTTTTAGAAATTTAGTGCCTTGGATTTCCTTTAGATGATCATTACTATTCATTTTGTTTGGGGTAAATTTGAGCCCTCTCCAGTGTAATTTGCATCTGGCCTACTCAGTGTCAACCAGAGGCAGAGAGTCCTTGGATGACTCTTTCAAGAACTTGAGGAAAATAAGCTAAACACAAAATAGTTTATATTATATTGTTCTAGTTATGTAAATTTCAAAATGGTAGTTTTTGCATTTTAAGTCAAGATAGTTTTGGATGGTGGTGATACCTGGAACGAGAAAGATAGTAGTAACTACCAGGTTAAGTGAAGAAAGATCTTGGGGTGCTGGAAATGCTCTATTTCTTGATGGGGGTGGTAGATGCCAGTGTTGCCTCTGATAATTCATTAGAATTTTTGTTCTTCTTACTTTTCAATACGTCTGTTATCTTTTGTTAAAAAAAGATGGAAAGAAAATATGTGTGTTGAATTTTTTCCATCTTACTTAGGTTTTGGTTTGAGGCATGTCTGTTATGTATTTATCACGTTACAGTAACCACAGTTCTGTATTTCTAAGTCCAATTTATCCTAGAAGCTCATGTTCAAATTTCAATTTTAATATGAGTCTTTTATTTCTTTCTGAAGTTGTCTCTCCCTCCTCTGTTTCTCTGTTCTGTTCCAGTAATGAAGTATAAATGAGAAGGAGCTGGCATTTTAGTGTATTTTGGGTAAAGGGTAGAGAGGAATCAATATTTTCTCAAACTGAATGTCTCACATTTTCCTTTGGGTGGCATTGAAAAGTACTTCAAGATTAAGCTGAATATTTTTGATTTGATTGTTAGATATTGCATGAACTTTTGAACAAATTATCTGGCTGTTCCCTGTGCCCTAAAAGGGTCATTATAAAACTAACATAAGATTCCTTACTAAATTACTTGAACGGCATAAAATTCAGGTTTCTGGGAAAAGGTTAAGAAACTCTTTGGAAAATTTACAATTAGTAAAAATAGACTTATTAAATATTAAAATACAAACACTTGTGTTCCTATGAAAATAGTTTAATTATGAGTAAAAATATGTATTCAATATTCTTACCAGTTGATGTTTCATTTAAGTAAAGTGATTAGGTTCATGTTTTGTACGTTAGGTGAGTGGAGATAAAAATAGGCAATCATAATTCTAACACGAGGCTTTAAAATAGAGTAGAACTTCATTCTTTTTTTAAATTTAAATTCAATTTGCCAACATACAGTATAACCCCCAATGCTTATCCCATCATGTACCCTCATTAATGCTCATCATCCAGTTACCACTTCCCCCACCTACCTTGCCTTCAGCAATCTGTTTCCCAGGGTTAAGTCTCTCATGGTTTGTCTTCCTCTCTAATTTTTCCCACTCGGTTTCCCTGCTTCCTGCTTTCCCTTATAGTCCCTTTCATTATTTCTTACATTCCACATATGAGTGCCACCATATGATAATTGTCTTTCTCCAATTGACTTATTTCACTCAGCATAATACCTTCCAGTTCCATCCATGTCAAAGCAAATGATAGACATTTGTCTTTTCTGATGGCTGAGTAATATTCCATTGTATATATAGACCACATCTTCTTTATCCAATTATCTGTTGAAGGACATCTTGGCTCCTTCCACAGTTTGGCTGTTGTGGACATCGCTGCTATGAACATTGGGGTGCAGGTGTCTCATTATTTCACTACATCAATATCTTTGGGGTAAATATCCAGTACTGCAATTGCTGGGTCATAGGGTAGCTCTATTTTTATCTTCTTAAGGAAACTCCACACTGTTTTCCAGAGTGGCTGTAGCAGCTTGGATTCCCACCAACAGTGCAAGAGGGTCCCCCTTTCTCCACATCCTTTCCAACATTTGTTGTTTCCTGTCTTGTAGCCATAGCAATTCATTCTTATCCATTGTTTTTTTTTTTTAACGATTAAACTTTTTTTTGAATCATAACAATTTTAACTCATTTCTACCATTTGTTTTAAATAATAGGGCTCTTTTGCATCTCTGAAATAACATGTAGAAGATGTGGAACCATATTAGAGGTATGAATATAAAAGTTAGTCCATCATTTTAAGAAAAAAAGTTCTGCTTGGCTGTATTTGAAACTTGTGCTGACTATAGAAATTATAGGACATATGCAAGTGCTTTAGCCACAAAGTTTCATTGAATTCAAATGTCCCAGGATGGGACATCTAATTACTTAGGGAGGAAGTGTTTAAGACATTTATGTTCTGATGTCTCCTAAGATAAGTATAGTTTGGTGGTGATTTATAAACCATGAGTTAATGGGCAAAAAGAAAGGGAGAGTGAGAGAAATGGGTTACGTGATTACTTGCTTGTTATAAGAGAAAATAATGTTGGATGGAGCATGAGTTAGATAGCTGAGTCTGATGGCATTCATTTACTTTATTAAAAATGCAGCGTGCCCAGATTTGCATAGAAAAAGATAAATCTATGATTCCTTGTGTAATTAGGGCTTCAGGGACTGGGATTATTTTACATGTTTGATTTTCTAAACAGGGCTCTTCGATGAACTCACTACCATTTTAGGTCAGATGTCCACTTAATACTTGGTTTTGGGAGGATGGCTCCATTTCCCACCCCCGTAATTTGCTAAGTGTTAAGTGTCTGGTAGTACTGATGCTCTTCTGAAGACTTTTTTGAATTTAACCTCAGGTAACACCAAGGGAATTTACATTGTGTAGAACTGCACTCAAGGTAAAGCCTCAGAGTGTGAAATTTTAGATGAGAAAACAAAGGAAACAGGATAACAATTCATCTCTACCTGGATTACTCAAAGGGTGAAAACCCCAAATTTCCCATTTTCCAAATGATTTTTTAAGGTGACTTTTACTCATATATTGAAAAAAAAATCCCTCTCATGTTCTTTAATAATAGTCAAAGGGTTTGCATGACACGTGTACTGTGAGAATTTCCTGCCTGTGCGGTGGTTCCTGGAACATTTTAGAAGCTAGTAACTTTACTGCTTCTTGTTCACCAATAGAAGATTCACCAATAGAAGATTCAAGAACACTGTTCAAATAAATATTTCTTTTCTTTTTTTCTTTGAAATTTCTTCATGCATGACTTTTGGATTATTTAGCCTCCAGCTCAGCTCTGTGGACTAATACAGTATTCTTCTTGATTAAGCACACATCGTGTCCTGCTGGCATCAACACTGGAACATTTCTCATGGCAGGTATGTGAAACCCAAGTCATAAAATTCTAAAAAATGAAACAAACCAGAAAAGGTATCTCAGGGATGTGGCTAATTTCAGGGCAGTACTTTTCAAAAAAAAAAAAGTGGATATTTTTAGGCTTTCCATGTACCAGCACTTTCCAGTCCTGATTATCTATAACTTAGAAATGATTTTGTGAAGCTTTTTCAGCAGGTTTAAAGAGTGGCTTCTGAAAGAGATAGCTCTAAATCTGAATGCAAATTGAATTTGCTGTCTGTTAGTGACTCTTTGCAAGTGTGCTAATGTTAATGCCAAATCTAATGTTGAATTGTTTTATGGTAAATGCAAATAAGCAGTAGTTTTTGGTATGAGAAAACGTAATGCTCTTTCCAAACAAATGTTTCAACCAAAATGGTTGCTTATATATCATAATTTAATGTACCGGGAAATGAATCCAGGACCCTAAGTTGTTACTCATACATCATACCAGGTAGAGTACTCATATCTTCTCTTTCCAATAAAATCTCTACAAAGCTACATGCAGTTGGATCTTTCTTTCTTTCTTCTTCTTTCTTTCTTTCTTTCTTTCTTTCTTTCTTTCTTTCTTCTTTCTTTCTTCTTTCTTTTTCTTTCTTTCTTCTTTCTTTCTTTCTTTCTTTCCTTCCTCTTTCTTTCTTTCTTTCTTTCTTTTGCTTTCTTTCTTTCTTTCTTTCTTTCTTTCTTTCTTTCTTTCTTTCTTTCTCTTTCTTTCTTTCTTTCTTTCTTTCTTTCTTTCTTTCTTTCTCTCTTTCAGATTTTATTTATTTATTCATGAGAGACACAGAGTGAGGCAGAGACATAGGCAGAGGGAAAAGCAGGCTCCCTTAGGGAGCCTGATTCAGGTCTTGATCCCAGGAACCTTGCATCACACCCTGAGGTGAAGGCAGCTGCTCAACCACTGAGCCACCCAGGCGCATTTCTTAAGTAGAGAATAGAAGGCCACATTTTCAAGTACTATTGTGGCAGTGATAGAAGATGTTAAGTAAAAAAATAGATTTTGGGCCTAGACAAACTTTCATTTGATTTCTGACTTGGATACTCACTTGCTTTGATACCTGGAGAAAGTAACATTGTTAATGGACCTTACAGTTTCTTATCTATTTAATAGGAATAATCTTGTGATTCTTGTTGAGATGTCAAAAATATCTATTATGTAAGCCCATAAAACATAACTTGATGTCTGTTGATTTCTTCTTACTCCAGATCCCTAAGCTTCTTTGTTGAATTTAGAAATAAATAGCAAATCCACTTTACTGAGCCAGGACTGGTAAAGGATAAAAGTTATAGATTATCTCACTAAATAATAAATTACACCACATAAAAATTTGAATATTGAGAGGAGTCCTGAAGGAGATATTATCATCTTCTAGTGCAAGATGGTTGGGTTATCAAATCAAAGAATGTTTTGGATTCTCTCTCACCGTGTTGCTTTTAAGAACTTCAGCTCTTGAATTTGTTCTTTAAATCATCATTGTATCTCTCTTTCATTACAGTTTCTCAGACCACTCTATGGAATTTGATTTCTGGGATCTTAGGAGTAATGTGCCTTTTGTTGATGACTACAATGGGAATTTTGTTGAAAAATTGTAAGTTTTTCTAGGCAAATTTGTATAAAGACCATACCTGTAGTGAAACCATTCAATAATTAATAAAGGTTTCATTTTACTAATGTGTAATATTTTATTATTTCATGAGCTTGTATCCAATGGAGTGAATTTTTAATCATTTTTTATAGTATTACTTACAGAAAGTATTCAGCCAACATTGTCACCAGGACCAATCACAGAACTCCAAAAAGGTAGGTTCCATACTTTGGAAAACCTTAGTGTTGGTAGAGGATGAAATAGACAGTTTCTTATTTTTCTCACATAGATCATGATGGAATAGTACACTTAGTAATACAAATTTACCTACTAATTGTAAGATAGTCACATTTCATAATTCTCTAATATAAAAGACATTAAATAACACTGTACATACAGTGCATCATTCACATATTTAAGTAGTAAGGAAATATTAGCTTGAAATGACATATTTTCCCCAAAGATGTGCTCATGTTTTAGTGACAAATCAAAAATTAGTTACAGTAAATACTACAGTTAATCCTAATTACCTGTCGCTTTGCTCAGAGACCATACTTTTATATCTCTTTACCTTTCTTTTTTTTTTTTTTAGTATGAAATTCCTTTGATCTGAATTTATTTTGGTATTTATTTTTTTTATTATAAATTAATTTTTATTGGTGTTCAATTTACCAACATACAGAATAACACCCAGTGCTCATCCCGTCAAGTGTCCCCCTCCGTGCCCGTCACCCATTCACCCCCACCCCCCGCCCTCCTCCCCTTCCACCACCCCTAGTTCATTTCCCAGAGTTAGAAGTCTTTATGTTCTGTGTCCCTTTCTGATATCTCCCACACATTTCTTCTCCCTTCCCTTATATTCCCCTTCACTATTATTCATATTCCCCAAATGAGTGAGAACATACACTGTTCCCCAAATGAGTGAGAACATACACTGTCCTTCTCCGATTGACTTACTTCACTCAGCATAATACCCTCCAGTTCCATCCACGTTGAAGCAAATGGTGGGTATTTGTTGTTTCTAATGGCTGAGTAATATTCCATTGTATACATAAACCACATCTTCTTTATCCATTCATCTTACTAAAAATAGACCTGCCCTACGACCCAGCAATTGCACTGTTAGGGATTTACCCCGAAGATTCAGATGCAATGAAACGCCGGGGCACCTGCACCCCGATGTTTCTAGCAGCCATGTCCACAATAGCCAAACTGTGGAAGGAGCCTCGGTGCCCATCTCTTTACCTTTCCTTCTGCTTTTTGAATATAGTGCACAGGTTTCTGTAATTTTAAACCCTTATTATCCAGTGAAAGCCAGCTCAAAGTCCAGTTTTTTAAGGTATTTTTTCCAAATAGTCTCCAAATTATTCACCATCTTCTGTGCGTATAGCATCTTCTGTTCATATAGCACTTTATTCTTTTTTCTCTTAGCATTCTTTTCCATCTGTATTGAGATATTATTGATATATAATGATGTGTAAGTTTAAAATAATCAACAGTTTGATTTGATACACCTGTATGTTGTAATACGGTTACTACCATGACATTAGCTAATACCTCTATCATGTCACATAATTACCATGTTTTTTTTTTTGTGGTGAAAGCATTCAGGATCTACCTTTTTAGCAACTTGCAGGTATACAATACAGTTTTGCTGACTGAAATCATAACTCTGTGCATGAGATCCACAGAACTTATTCACATTGTAACTGGAAGTGTGTCCCCATTGACTGACATCTTTCCATTTACCCAACTCTCCAGCTCCTAGTAACACCATTCTACCTTACACTTCAACACCATTAATTTGACAGAGATTTGAGTGCCTACCATTGTCTTGACTTTTATGACTGAGGATAGTAAATGTTCAATATGCTATCACTGGTAAACTGTATGATATTCAAGCTAATTGTTTTATTTATTTTTATTTTGAAAATAAAATATACACACACTGGAATTCTCCAATTTGTTCCATTTTTTTTCTGACTCAGAAAATATGCTAAAATAGTCTCCTTTAAATATCTCTTTCATCTAGTTTACTACTGTTTACACAACAGAGCTCAACTTAGGGTCACTTCCTCAAAAAGGTTCTTTAGCCACCCTCCAAATTACACTCTGCTACCTGACCTTTTAACATACTGACTTAATCTTGTGTATATTTATGAAAATTATCATTAAACATAATTAGTAAATGATTGAAATTATATAGTTCTGACCCTATGTCTAGAATATAATCTCTATTAGGAAAAAGGGTTATGTCCGACTTGTTCATATCAATAGCACCTGAACTATGGTATATGTAGTATTTTCTCAAAGTATATTTGTGGAAAGTAGTGAATAAATAACAACTGATTTTTGAATGAGTAAACAGCATTGAAAAAAATGAACGTCCTAAGTCATCTTTTATTTTTTTCTCTTAGGTTCTGATTGTTGTTCTTGCCCAAAAAGGTGGATTGGGCACCAATGCAACTGCTACTTGTTTTTTGATGAATTAAAATCTTGGACAGAAAGTCGTGATTTCTGTGCTTCACAGAATTCCAGTCTACTTCACATTCAAAACAGAGATGAATTGGCATGTATTTAATTCTGGCTTATTTCCTACATTTTCTTTGATCTAGGAAAATATGCTAAGGAAGCTGAGTACTCTGATTTGTCTTTATAATTGGATAGTAAATGCATGATTATTATTTGAACTAATGACTTATTATTTACTATGCCTTGAAACAATCATTATAAAACTTAAACATAAAATTTGTCAAAGATTTATATTATAGGAATAAAAACCAAGTTAGATTGCAGGTAAAGTACAAGGAATGATTTAGAGAGAATTCAAAGAACGAATAATAGGCCATTATTTTTATTCAAAGACTGAAAAACAATTTTGTAATTTTTTGTTCATTAGTTGAATTTATAATTTCTTTTGTAATTATGTATCTTCTCTCATCATTCTGAGGTATAATGTGTCATAAGTATGGAGAGTATGATAAAAAAAATTACCCAATTTAAGAAAAAGTGAAAGCTTTCTCTAGCTGCATGGAGTACCTGTCCTGAGTATAAGTTGAGTAGACTATATCCATGAAATTTATCCTCTAGATACTGTTGATATGGGATCAAACTTGATTGTAATCTTCTGTGAAGGAGGTGTTTCATGAAAGCTCTTACTTCTTTCTAACGTTTTTTATTCCTCTAAGATGTGATATTTTGTAGTATTTATTTATATATCATAAATGAATAGATCGGAGGATAAGGAAGAAAAATGAGGCATGGGACTATACTTCCTAAACTGGTCATTAAAAATGATCGGAGTTTGTGTGATTGAAAGGCTACTGTGCTGCTGACACTCTTAAAAATACATTATTTCCAGAGTAGATTCAAATTACAGTAATATGTTTGTCTCTGTTTCCAATCAGCGTTTTGTGAGCTCCAGTAAGTATTTTTACTGGATTGGAGTCTATTACAGTAAAGAAAATGGTACCTGGTTGTGGGAAAATGGCTTGGCTATCTCTCAAGATCTGTAAGTTTCTGACAGACAAGTTCTTTTTATTTATTTCTTTTTTTTAGGGTTTTTTTTTTTTGTTCCTTAGGAATTTATCTATAGATATCACCAGAGAATGTAATATTTGGGACTCTATAGCTAAGATAACCTATCTGAGGCATGAAAATACAGAAAAAAAAGAATATCTAACAAAATATCAATTTTAGCTCCATCTAGATCATCCACATCTATGCTTAAGTGACATGATGTTGGTGTACTTTTAACTATAAAACAACTTTTGACCTTTTTGAAAATTTTTTGCCTTGTATGAGCACTTGGATGTGTATGTGCATGTACAGATGCTCATCTTCACAGAAGCCAGGGAAAATAGCATATCCATTATTGTCTTTACTCTGGTTGAGCCCATTATTTTTGGCATACTCTTATGTTTCAAATATTTTGGACTTATCTTCTGTATATTTGTAATCTTTGGATCTTATTTTCATTCATAAAGATGGGATTTGCAGCATCAGACAATCATAATTTTTTTGCTTGGATTTGTTTTCCCAGACTAGATTATCCAGTATATCTTTAAACAAAATGGAAGCAAAGCATATCATATTGAAAAATCATAAATAACAACAGCAAAAACGTAAAATCCTTAGCTTAATGATGTTGATTATTGAGACAATAACTGAGTTTTCATAATACTGTGCTCTGAAATTGTGAAAATGTCACTCTTGAACAAAAAAAAATTGACTCAATATGTTAGTTATCTCATTCAAGTGCTTTTAAAAGCTCTATAATTTAATATAAAACACTATCTTTGAATATTCTCATTTACTTTTCTCATATGTTAACATTTTATTTTTCATTACAGGTTGCAAACAATTCAAACTTTTGATACAAAGAAATGTGTAATATATAGCTCAAGCCACAGTGTTTTGGATGTATCCTGTGAAGATAAAAGTCGTTTTATATGTAAGCAAGAGCTTATGTAGGTATTTCTTGGAGTGAAAGAGTGGCCAGTGAAGAAGAATCAGTAGTCTAAGAACATGACTGTATCTCTTAAATTATTGCTAATTATCTACTTCTGGCATCTGTAAAATGTTTCAAATTATGTCTTGTGATACAATTTTCATATATTTGAAGTCATGTGTTTTCAAATTGATGAAATTTTGGCACCTATACTTCAATAACAAAGCATCAAGGTGAAGAATTTCAGGAGTATTGTGATTTAATGTATATGTTCAATATTAAATTTAATATACTTTTAGCATATATTCTTGTAAATTTTCTTTGCAGAAATTCAAATAAAATAATTTGTATAAAGTGACATATATCAATGTCATTTCAGTTCTTTTATAAGACATAGTAAATTGGGAAGTCCCATCTTCATCTCACTTTTCTGGAGCTTAGTTCTTTCTGGATATTTATATTTTTTAATTTAGAGCTTAAGGTGTCATATGATAGCATCCTCATGTGTATCATCAGACTTTAGAGGGGACATATTTGTGTTCTTTCCTTGATGGTCCTGATTCTGTAGAATAATATTGAGTCTTTGTGCAAATAGGTGGTTCCTGTGTGATTGCTTTTAGATTTTGCATGGGTAAACAGGATCCAAGCTTGATCACATGAATTTGCAATACTTACTTTTTACTCTACACATTTCTTGCCTTATGCTTATCCAATGGTAAAAAGTCACCAAGATGTAAACTGAATATCTTCCCCCCCTTTTTTTAATTTAAATTCAACTTGCAAACATATAGTATAACACCTAGTGTTCATTCCATCAAGTGCCCTCCTTAATGCCCATCACCTAGTCACCCCATTCCCTCACCCACCTCCCCTTCCACAATGCTTTGTTTGTTTCCCAGAGTTAGGAGTCTCTCATGGTTTGTCTTCCTCTCTAATTTTTCCCCACTCAGTTTTCCTCTTTTCCCTTATATGCTCTTTCACTATTTCTTATATCTCACATATGAGTGAAACCATAAGGTGATTGTCCTTCCCTGATTGGTTTATTTCACTCAGCATAATACCTTCCAGTTCCAACCATGTCAAAGCAAATGGTAGGCATTCATCCTTTCGATGGCTAATATTCCATTGTATATATATATCACTTCCTTATCCATTCATCTGTTGAAGGACATCTTGGCTTCTTCCGCAGTTAGACTACTGTGGACATTGCTGCTAGGAGCATTGGGTGCAAGTGCCTAATTGTTTCACTACATCAATAGCTTGGGGTAAATATCCAGTACTGCAATTGCTGGGTCATAGGGTGGCTCTATTTTTAACTTTTGAGGAACCTCCACACAGTTTTCCAGAGTGGCTGTAGTAGCTTGCATACCCACCAACATTGCAAGAGGGTCCCCTCTTTCTCCACATCCTCTCCAATATTTGCTGTTTCCTGTCTTGTTAATTTTAGCCATTCTTGCTGGTGTGAGGTGGTATCTATCTCATTGTGGTTTTGATTTGTTTTCCCTGATGGCAAGTGATGTGGAGCATTTTTTCATGTGCTTGTTGGCCACATATAGGTCTTCTTTGGAGAAATGTCTGTTCATATCTTCTTCCCATTTCATGACTGGATTATTTCTTGGGTGTTGAATTTGATAAGTTCTTTATAGATCTTGGATACTAGCCCTTTATCTGATATGTCATTTACAAATATCTTCTCTGATCCTGTAGGTTGTCTTTTAGTTTTATTGATTGTTTGCTTCACTGTACAGAAGCTTATTATCTTGATGAGGTCCCAATAGTTCATTTTGCTTTTGTTTCCCTTGCCTTCATAGATGTTAAACTGAGGATTTTAATCTCTAATCAACCTCAAACTTTTTCCTGAAAGTTATGTGTCAAATTTGAACAATTCTATTTTTCTGTTGGGGAGGGAGCATCCCATTTAATCAAGGGGGTTCTGAGTGTGTCCAAGGAGTGGAAACATAATAAGGTCTGATTCCTGTGACTTGGATGAAGTTTTTCTAATCTCACAGATATCAAAAACCAATTCTCTTTTTTAAAACTATTGCATACACCTCATACCAGTGAGAATGGGGAAAATCAACAAGGCAGGAAACCACAAATGTTGGAGAGGATGCGGAGAAAAGGGAACCCTCTTACACTGTTGGTGGGAATGTGAACTGGTGCAGCCACTCTGGAAAACTGTGTGGAGGTTCCTCAAAGAGCTAAAAATAGACCTGCCCTACGACCCAGCAATTGCACTGCTGGGGATTTACCCCAAAGATACAGATGCAGGGAAATGGCAGGACACCTGCACCCCAATGTTTATAGCAGCAATGTCCACAATAGCCAAACTGTGGAAGGAGCCTCGGTGCCCATCGAAAGATGAATGGATAAAGAAGATGTGGTTTATGTATACAATGGAATATTCCTCAGCCATTAGAAACGACAAATACCCACCATTTGCTTCAACGTGGATGGAACTGGAGGGTATTATGCTGAGTGAAGTAAGTCAATCGGAGAAGGACAAACATTATATGTTCTCATTCATTTGGGGAATATAAATAATAGTGAAAGGGAATAGAAGGGAGAAGAAATGTGTGGGAAACATCAGAAAGGGAGACAGAACATAAAGACTCCTAACTCTGGGAAACGAACTAGGGGTGGTGGAAGGGGAGGAAGGTGGGGGGCGGGGGTGAATGGGTGACGGGCACTGAGGGGGGTACTTGACGGGATGAGCACTGGGTGTCATTCTGTATGTTGGTAAATTGAACACCAATAAAAATAAATTTATTAAAAAATAAAATAAAAAATAAATCAAACTATTGCATATATATCTTTAAAAGTTTATATTAATGTGTTTTTGTTTTCTATTTCAATTAAATTACAATAATTAAGAGCTTCAAATTGATTTTTAATAAAGAGCCAGGAAGAGAAAAAGTCCTGTGTGTTTTGATTCTTAAAATCTAAGGATAATAAGATTGCCCTCTTCACATTGTTGCATGAAGATAAAAAAAAAGAACATAACTTGTATTATGAAAAATACAAGATAATAAATGTTTAACTTGGATTAGGAGGAAACACATTGTACTTTTTGGACATTTAAAATGTTTTAGCTTGGGGTGCCTAGGTGACTCCATCTGTGGGTAAGCATCCAACTCTTTATTTTGGCTTAGGTCATGATCTCAGGGTGGTGAGATCAAGCTCCAGTTTGGGCTCCACACTCAGCAGAGAGTCTATTGGAGATTCTCATTCTTTCTCTCCCTCTGCCTCTCCTGCGCACTCTCTAAAATAAATAAATAAATCATTAAAATGTTTTGAGTTTTTTGTCCATGTAAATTCAAGATAATAAACTTTTAATTAAATTAAAAAACAGTATAGATAAACTTATGATGAAAACCAATAGTTTTCTGCCGCAACTATCCTATCTCCCTGTTGTCTTTACATAAAGCACTTCCTTCGGGTTTTTTGTTTGCTTTTCTATTTGCAGTAGTTTTCTATGTAATGAACCAAGGATGGTCTATTTTTTATAGTTTTGTCCAGGATGAATCTCAAGTGTTTTCATTTAACCACACCCAAATATAGCTTCAAATTATTTCTTTTCGTATCATCACCCCATGAGGTGCCCAGAGCCCTGTCTGCCTTTCTACTGAGGACTTGTGAACATTCATTAAAGTTGCAAGAGCAATGAGGGAACAGAAGGTGCTAAATATGATGGGTGATACCTAATTTCAGAGAGTAATCTATGTCAAAAGTTACCTCTAGTGAGAGAGGAATTTTCCTCCCTTCCTGTAGCCTCCTAATATAGCTCAGGTGTTTTTTTCAATTTCCATATCATATTGGGGCATTATGATGAGGGTCCTGGATTGAAAGGAAACTACTAGTTCCCCACAGTAGTGTGTCTTTCTCACAACATGATCCAATCATGTTAGTGACACTGAGTCATGACCATCAGACCTGTTTTATTTTTATTAGTCTTCTTCCACTCTTGCCTGAATACTGCTTTCCTTCATCCTGAAAATGTTTTTGTCATCTTTGGGATGGGAAAGACTTCTTTTATACAAAAGTCTGCCTATTAAATATCTCTTTTCCCTTCTACTGTAATTTCTAGTATATTTTCTGGGGAGAAATATTATTTTTCTTTTGTTCTCTGGTTTTGTTTTTGTTGTTGTTTTGATTTGGTTTGGTTTTTTTCTTTTATTTTTGGTATGAAATGGGCTACTGCACATGGAAGGATCTAGTTGAGTGAATATCTCAATTTTGAACATAAAACTAATAACAAGAGGTGAAGGAATGTCCACTCCCCCACCAAAATAACAAAATAATATTGCCACAAGTTAGCTTATCCTTCCTTAATTTTATCCTGTTACCTAAATGCATTACCCTGAATGTATGTAATACGTGTTATGGATTGGTACATAACAAATTATGATAAATTTAGAAACTTAAAATGACTCATGTTTGTATGTCATAATATCTATGGATCAGGAGCTGAGCATGGATTAGTCCTTAGCTCAAGGCTTCAAAAGGCTGGAATCCAAGGCATGGCTGTGCTGAATTTTCACCTGAAACTGAGTCCACTTCCAAGTTCATTCAGGCTGATGGCAGATTTGGTCCCTTGTAGCTATAGAACTGAGACCCTTACCTCCTAGTGGCTTCCCTTCTCCATACACAGTCACAGGATACTTGCTTCTTCAAGCCCAGAAGTAGTGCACTCCTTTCTCTCTCTCACCTCTAGAGTCTTTTTTAAGTATTTAACTGATCAGATCAGGTATACCCAGAATATGCTCTTTTGATTAACTTAAAATTGACTAATTTAGAACCTTAGTTACATCTGAGAAATAGCCTAATCTTTCCACATAATATAACCTAATCACAGAGCAACATCCTATTATCTTCATAAATCCCACTGAAATTGAAGGGTACATGATTATACATATGAACACCAGGATATGGGAATTTTGAGGTCTTCTTAGAGTTCTGCCTACCATACCAACATAGCCCTAAAAAATATGCTGTAAGTGCTACTACACAGTTTACTGAATTTAAACATTGACTTTTGATTCCTGGTAAGATAACTAAGAATTGAATTCATGTATGCCAGGACAAATAATACTTTAAAATTTTTTTCCAATATATTAGTTCTTCGTTCCTCCACTACTGACATCTATGTTTGCCTATTAAAGACAAGTTTTTGTATAGCCGGATTGAGATAGTTCTTTGCTTATTTCCAGAGATGCTTGAGAGTTGTTTTTCGACTCTTGGC